CACAGCGCCACTTCCGGCTTTTTTTCTTTTTGCTTATGTGGTGCTGAGGAATCGAACCCAGGGCCTCAGGCATGCAAGGCAAGCGCTCTACCACAGAGCCACCTTCCCAGCCCCTCTAGAACTTTCTTATCTCCAACTGAAGCTGTCTCCATTCAACACCCAGTTCCCAACCCCTCTGCAGCATTCCCCTCCCCTGCTCTCCTCCCCCTTTTTTGGGAGGTACTGGGTTTGAACTCAGGGTCCAGGGCTGTCATACAGCTATCTGGGCTTGCTGTCAGAGCTGCGTGCTACCCATGCCCAGCTTCTTCTGTAGAGATGGAATCTCTTGGCTTTTCTGCCAGGACTGAGCATGGAAATGGGATCTTCCCCCTCTCAGCTTCTGAGTAGCTGGGATTACAGACGTGAGCTGCTCACTAGCACCTCCTGGTCCTTCCTGAATACGGCTCCTCTGTCTGGGCTCTGCTCGTGTCCCCTGGCCGTGTCCCCTGCCTACCTGATGGGAGCTGGGGTGTGGAGGAGCAGGAAGCCAGCACTGGGGCCATGACAGGGGGCCCCGGCAGGGGGGGCTGGGGCTCTGGGGCTGGCTGGGGGGGTGCAGGGGTGTGGCTAGGCGTGCTTCCCGGACCCTTGCCCACAGCCACAGGCGGGGGGATGTCCCCCTCGTCGATGGCACTGCCCTTCCGGACGGCAGCCAGCAGGTCCTCCAGAGTCTGCAATGGACACGTAACTGGGCTCAGGAGAAGGGAGGTGCCCCGGGGGGGGGGTCATCACAGAGTCCCCTACACTTTGCTCACTCACCTTGAGCCCGCGGTCATAGCGCCGCACCTTGGCGCTGTCCCCCGCTTGCCGGGCGCCCTCGATGGCGCACTGGTAGAGGGCGAGCCTCTCCTGCAGGGTGGCCTCCACCCCAGGGTGGGGGGCTGAGGGCTTTGGCTGTGGGAGGGACAGGGGATGGGGGTGGGCACAATCTGGGTGGCGATGGCTTCCCATACACAGGCCACCCTGAATCTAGCCTTCCCTACCCCAGCAAGGCAGAAACCCCCGTCTCTGGGGGAAGATATAGAAGTTGGGGTTATCATGTCAACTGCCCCAGAGGGATAGATAGGGGTGAGCCCCAGGACTTGGGAGGGGGGTAGGGTAGGGAGCTGTACCTGGGCCACAGCTGGCGGGGGCTCCACGGCCTTCTGTTCTTCTCCCAGGACTTCATTGAGTTCTGCCTGCGGGGACAGACGCAGGGCCAGGGTGGGACGTGAGAACAGGCTGCATGGGGGGGAGGGGTGAGGTCTGGGGGTCAGGCCCCCCATCCCAGAGGCTGGGGGCTCACCAGCAGGTCATCATCGGCCTCCACGTCGTCATCTGTCTCCTCCTCCTCCTCATCCGGGTCTCTCATGCACAGCCTGGCCATTCTCTCGATTGCTTCCATAGGCAGCGGGCCTGGCAGTGCAGGGAGAGGCCTCGCTGTGGCAGCCTCCACCGAGAGCCTCCAGCTCCCCACCCTAGCACCCCGGACACCCCGAGAACAGGGTGGCCAGCAAAAGAGCTGCAGGTACCCTTCCCAGCTCCCACCCCCCAAAAAAATCCATCACCCCCACTCAGCTGTTCCTTATCCCACTTCAAGCATCCAGAGCTCAAACTTCACCTCTCTGGGACTCAGTTTCCCCTCGGTGAACATGGGATAATGGCTTCTCATGGATCCACAGAGGCCACTGTGTCCCATACCCCAGCGGATGTCTGAAACCTCACAGTATCAAACTCTCTGGACATGGGAATTCTTTCTATGTGTCCTGCAGCATTTCCACACAATACAGACTCAATCTACCCTCCCACACCACCCTCTTCCTTACTCCTGTTCTGTGGATTTTTTTTGGCCAGACCTGGATCTTGAACTCAGGGCTTAGGTGCTGTCCAAAAGCATTTTCACTCAAAGTTAGTGCTCTACCTCTTGAGCCATAGTTCCACATTTGGCTTTTTTTTTTTTTTTTTTT